ACCTTGTGATCTGCCTGCCTCAGCCTACCAAAGTGCTACATTTTCTTTTTTTTTTTTTCTTGAGACAGAGTCTCACTCTTGTTGCCCAGTCTGGAGCACAGTGGCGCAATCTCAGCTCACTGCAACCTCTGCCTCCTGGGTTCAAGCAATTCTCCTGCCTCAGCCTCCTGAGAGGCTGGGATTACAGGCGCCCGCCACCACGCCCGGCTAATTGTTTTATATTTTTAGTAGAGATGGAGTTTCACCATGTTGGCCAGGCTAGTCTCAAACTCCTGACCTCAGCTGATCCCTCCGCCTTGGCCTCCCAAAGTGCTGGGATTACAGGTGTGAGCCACCGAGTCAGCCTAGTATTCACATTTTCCCTTACAGTTGGTCTGTTTCAATCAGGATTCATTGCAGTTTGTTGATTTGTTTCAAAAGTTTGTTTGTTTGTTTGTTTTTAATTTCATGGGTTCTTTCTTCTCTGGCCTCTCTTACCTCCCACCCCACAATGTGTTTCCTAAAGAAATTAGTTGTTTAGATTATAGAGTGTGCTTTTCCTGTCCTATGTATTTCCTATAAACTGGTATTTATAATAAAGGTTTGTTAGGGTTTTTAAAAATTATTATTGCAAGACTATTTCATAGAGGCTGTTGTGTACGTCCATCAAGAGATACATAATGTCCAATTGTCTTTTTTTAAATTAAAAAAAAAATTTTTGTGATGTTAACAGCCATTGACAGTCATTACCTAGATCTGTTATTTCATTGGAGGTTGCAAAATGGTAATAGTCTTATTTAATTCTATACTTTTTTCATTTATTAGCTGTAGTAAGTTAAAACATTTAAATGTATTTTTTGAAACATGGTGTAGAGCCCCTTTTTTCATTTAAGTAAATGTTAAAATGGTAATGAGGCCGGGCATAGTGGCTCATGCCTGTAATCCCAGCACTTTGGGAGGCTAAGGTGAGCAGATCATTTGAGGACAGAAGTTCGAGACCAGCCCAACCAACATGGTGAAACCCTGTCCCTACTAAAAATACAAAAAAATTAGCCAGATGTGGTGGTGCATGCCTGTAGTACCAGCTACTCAGGAGGCTGAGGCAGGAGAATTGCTTGAACCCGGAGGCAGAGGTTGCAGTGAGCCAAGACTGCACCACTGCATTCTGGCCTGGGTGACAGAGAGAAACTCCATCTCAAAAAAATAAAAATAAAAAAATAAAGTGGTAATGAATTAAAATGCAAGTATTGAATCTGAACTGCCTTGTGGTATCTGAATAGGTTCTCCTTTGTATAAATAAAGTTTTTTATAAACTTCTTAAAAATTTTTATGATGCCTGATTTCGCTGTGATTATGATTTCTGTTAAGAAATGCTAACTGGTGTAATTGTAACATAATACTGTTTTTAAAATTTCATATTTTAACAGGAACGAGGGGGAATAATGTCACTCACGGAGGTGTACTGCTTAGTAAACCGAGCTCGAGGAATGGAAGTAAGAATAGAACATTTAAATATTCTTTTAACTAAAGATAGACTTTCTTAATACAAATTCCGAATACAATTTGAGGAAGGGTTGTGAATATCAAAGCTATTTTGAGAAGCACTGTGGTACAGTGAAAAGAATACTGCCCTGGGATCGAGGAGGTAGATTCTTTTCTTGGTTTTGATAGTGATTTGCTTAGTGACCGTCAGTAGCTTACTTAACATCTCTGAGACTCAGTTTTCCTTCTTCTTTTTTTATTTTTATTTTTTGCTATTCAAAACTTTTTCTATTTTTCTTTATAATTGACACAATAATTGTACATATTCATAGGGTACTATATGGTGTTTCAGTGCATGTATACATTGCATAATGATAAAATCAGGGTGTATTAGTCCATTTTCACGCAGCTGATAAAGACATAACTGAGACCGGGCAATTTTTAAAGAATTTTTGAAGAAAGACAAAAGAAA